TTAATTCTGGGCAGGTCTGCATTCTGTCCTCAGTCAGTCGGATGGAAAAATACCTTAGTATTAGTTAGCATAAGGGCGGAAGTGGTGTAGTGGCAAGTGGCACGCTTACCACGCGAGCGGTCCGGGGATCAAATCCTGGGTCGTGAGTCGCCCGGGCCAACCAAGCCTTCCATCCCTCCGGGGTCGGTTAATTGGTACCAGACTTGTCTGGGAGGATAAAAACACTGACTTGTACATCGGCTGGCCCCCGCAAGTCATTGTATAGGCCACATCGCATTCAAACGCCACTACGAATGTACAAATGGAAGTAGAATGCGTGCCGCATCCCAAAAGGGATTGATCAACGGCAAATGCTTTATTTTTTATGCTTTATTAGCAGCATGGGCGGGGATCGATAAGTGGAAAGTTTAAGTGCTATGAAGGTCCTACATTTCAACTACACTCACTACTAAACGATTACAAGGAGCGCCACTAACCTTATAGCACGGATTTCCTCATTGGAACGTGAGGCGAGGATTTCGATCAGAACTTTTTCATCGGTACCAAAACCCTGAAGTGTCTAAGAGGCTACTTCTACGAAAACCTTTGAAAGAAAACCCTAGGCAAAATTCTAAACGGTTTTTTACTACCTTCATGGCCCTGTGAAGGTCCAACACGTCGCGTTTTGTGGGAGTTTGCATAAGCGCCACTGAAACCGATTAAAATTTTAATCAAACCATGTGTTCTTGAAAAAGCTCTTTATGATGTGTCCGTTGATTTTCCAATTTCCACAAACACCCAAAGTCCAATAAAACAGGCAGCGAAAACTGAATAAACCTACAGATGACGTCCTCCAAATCACCAGACAGCTCTCTTCTTAACTCGTTTTCAAGATCTTTCCCGTACCGAACTTTGTATGGGGTTCGAATCTGAAAACGACGGCTTCATTTTACGTAGCCTATAATAGAAAGGAGTCAATTAGAAAGGAAGGCTTGATAAGAAATTAAAACGGTTTGTTGCGCTTCTTCCCCAGACGATCCTTATTATATCGTCAAGCCTTGACTTGATTGGTTTCATCCTAGAGTCCTCTAAAAGTCTTTCCGAATTCCTAATATAACAATAAGTTTGAAGGATCAGGAATGAGACCTTTCAGGAAGAAAGAAATAAAAGAAAAGAAAAGAAAAGAAATAGCGAAAATAGAAAGTGAGAAATAAAAAAGAAAATGAAGAAAAGAAAAGAAGAACGAATATGAGTGTGACAGTACCATTTGTCGTTGAGCATTGTTGCATTTGACGAGGATGTCGATCACTTTCTGTTTATCGGTCCCGTAGCCCCTCATCGCCCTTTCCAACGCCTCAGCCGCATGATCCTCATCGAACGATGCCGACGGATGGATTGTTGCCATCTGAAAAAAGCAGCTATGGTGGAGATTGCTAAAGAATAACAGCGACGGAAAAAAAAGGGTGATTATCGCATCCATAGCTATGCATATGTAAAGAATCTAGAAAACGAAGATAGTGAAGTCATATGTATGTTGGGGGCGGGGGGGGGAAAGCATTAACCGAAGGCATTGTACCTTTACAATTTTAAAATGATGAAAATGATGAAAGCAGCAGGTTACACTAGAGCTAAGGCCCAGAAGAAGGAAGAAGCGCCAGGGGAGACAAAATTGCTCACATCCGCCCGCAAAATCCCTTCCTTCCTAAGGCTTAAATCCAAAATTCTGTATGGTAGCTCACTCACTTCAATGTAACCCTAACGACATGAGCACCAAAAACAAAGTTCATAGTGGAGCAACTACGGTAGGTCTCATTGATCTCTACGCAACTATAAGACGACGTCATTTTCTGAAGAAGGTGGAAAGTGAGGGCAGACGGAGGCTTGGACTACTCACATATGTTTGCGGGTTACTTTTGACCATCTTCTATGGTTCTGCCACAAATGGCTGGAGCATAGACAACCAGAAAACGGCGCCTGACTCGGCATCAATACCCAAGGAAGAAGGTAGCCCTAAGATCTAAAGGTAAGCTATCGGACTGAGGAAGGAGGTTATATGGTGATAAAAGCCAATACAGCTTTAACGTGTGAGATCCCCAGTAGTGGCATGAGCAGCTGTTTTAGGCCTATGAGAACACAGGCAGTGACATCAAAAAATATCTATTCGGAGGTCTCCTTTGCTTTCCCATCTTTCAGGTCGTGCCGCCCCAGCCATCACTGCGGAGCGCTCTTATCACCAGCTCTATCCCGGGGCCTGCTTTTAAAGACGTCTCCTCGATGAGCCGCTGTTTAGCTGAGAGAGCACAAGCAGGAGCATCAAAATAAGGCTCGATTCCAAGGATCGAGTTCAAGTGTCCCGTAGACGCTTATAGAGAGACAGCTGAGGAATATTTTGCTGTAAGCTTCCGCCAACGGCGGCACATTGCGAAAAATTGCTGGACATGATCGAAATGTCCTTTTTTGCCCTCCCCCTTCCCCTGTAAACCGGTACCAAAATAAAAAGTTCCTCTAAGAGCATACTCCGCTAGATTTCATTGCAGAGATTTTTCCTGTATCCTTTCGCTGATAATAGGAGGAATGGAATCATAAGAGGAAGATAAAGGGATAATATGTGGGACGGATAGGGATGGGACGAAGGATAGTAGTAGCAAGTTGAAATTAGGAAATTGGGATAATAATATGGACAAAATAAGAATTAAGGTGACAACAATCTTCAAAGAGAACGTTAACTTGAGAAAGAGGAGAGTGCAAGGAGATCATTTTACAATATACAAAATCTACGAGTTTTCTTCTGAAAAGAAATTTTAAGCCACACCCTTCAGAATTCGCTCTCGATGAGAACAGGTAATACTTCGAGAACAGCGACAAAAGATTTTTAAGAGGAATTCGTTTCTAGAAGCTCCAAAAATCGCCTTGAAAACCAAACTTTGGAAACCTGTTTGACAGCAACTTCGTACGAGACAAGACTACTTAATGGGGATTAGCAAAGGCGTCATGGTTTGAGATGGAAGAAACAGATTGAAGTTGTTTTTAGGAATGACCTTTGTCTGGGTTTTTTCTCGGGAATTCTGGAATCTCCAATACTTACTCTTTTTTTCAGGAATTTCCTAGTAAAATTCTCAGCTGTAGAAGACATGGATAGAATGGAGCAAGGACAAGCGCATGGTCAATCAGTCAAATCTCAGATCGAATCCCGTTAGTCCGCAATTCAATCGCTAAACCTTCCATTGTTTCATTGGTCACCTACCAACTTCGTAATGCAAGGCACAAGAAAGTAAGAAATATGGGCGCTATCACAATATACGGGAGCATTACCTAGGACTAAGCCTAGGAGTGGGCAAGAGCTTGCGAAAAAATGAGCATGGCTCACACAACTTGGGTCTTTCCTCCCCCGCCTAAGGCTTATGGTTAGTCCAGTTTTAACAAAAAAAAACATGTTTACGCGGTTTTAAACGCATTGCCATCACAATGCCCCCTGTATATTGCGATAGCGCCGAAATATGCTTTCTTTTCCGGCATCGGAAGAGACCGGAAACGAAACATCCTACTAACTATAAAGCGCTTCGTCTGTCGTCTGTCGTGTGTCGTCTGTCGTCTCTCGTCTGTCTGTGTGTCTGTCACGAAATTCCCTAGCTCCTCGGGATCCGCCTGGAGGGACCGGGTCAAGTGTGGAATGGGTGGGCAAGGTCTCACGTAATACAAACACACATCAGCTAAGCGGAGCCCCGCCCACAGAGGGCGTGGCGTGCGTCGAAATGAACTGTACCGAAGACCAAGATTTCGATTTCAGTGACAAAACGACCTCGAAACTGGGCCAAAAAGTGGGTAAAGGTGTGCATTGGTAAGTCACATCGAATTAGGGAGACCCACCCCCGGTGGGCGGGGCGTTCTCTAAAAAAGCAGTGCTTTATGAAAAATTTCATAACTCGGTTGGGAGAAAGCCTACAGAGCAGAAAACAATTTGGTGTAAGGGAGCAATGTCTAAGGTGTTTCCTGCATACATGACGTGGGCGGAGGCCCGCCCAGAATGGGCGGGGCGCGCTCTGAAGTGTACAGCATTTTCTACAAGTCCTCATAATTCGGGCCGGGGAAGTCTTAAGAGCCGGAAAAAGGTGGATAGAGGTGGATGGAGGAGTGGAGGGCCAACCGTCATCGGTGGGCGGGGCTTGACCAAAGTGGGCGGAGTTTGCGACGAAAATTCATAACTCGGCTCCAAGAAGTCCCGGAGGCCGGGAAAAGGTGGATGGAGGTGGGTGGAGGAGTGGAGGCCCAGCTGTCATCGGTGGGCGGGGCTTGACCAAAGTGGGCGGAGTTTGCGACGAAAATTCATAACTCGGCTCCAAGAAGTCCCGGAGGCGGGAAAAAGGTGGGTAGAGGTGGGTGGAGGAGTGGAGCTTAAATACCATTATTGGGCGGAGCATGTTCAAAGTGGGCGGAGTTATCACGAAAATTCATAACTCGATTCCAAGAAGCCCGGGAGACCGGGAAAAAGGTGCATGGGGGTGGTTGAAGTAGTAGAGCTAGAATATTATTGGTGGGCGGAGCAAGTCCTAGGTGGGCGAGTTACCCAGGAAAATTCATAACTTGGTTCCAAGAAGTCCTGGAAACGGGAAAAAAGTGTGGATATATAGGTCAGCAAAGAAAGAGAAGTTAACTGCTACGGTCGGGTGGAGCGGGCGCTAATGTGGGCGAGTTTGCGCCGAAATTGTAATTCGGCTCCAAGAAGTTCCAGAGGCCGGGAGGGAAAAGGTGGATGGAGGTGGGTGGAGGAGTGGAGGCCAGCTGTCATCGGGTGGGCGGGTTTGATCAAAGTGGGCGGAGTTTGTGACGCAAATTCATAACTCGGCTCCAAGAAGTCCGGAGGCCGGGAAAAAGGGAGTAGAGGTCGGCAAAGGAAAGGAGGTCAACTGCTATGGTGGAGCACGCACCGAAGTAGGCGGAGTTTGCCACGAGATTTATTGTCCGGAAGCAGTCCGGAGACCGGGAAAAGAGAATAATGGTTGACGAAGAAAAAGAGGTTGAAAGCCGTCGATGATGGAGCGGATAGAATTTAGCTGAGAATTCAGATATTCGTGGTGTATCAAGCCAAATTTGAAAATTTTCGTCGCACCATCAAAATTCGCCGCAGATCTGTGTTGTGCGCGCAATGCGTGCGGCGCCAACTGGTTTTAATAATGTGCTCGCTAAGGAGGTGTTTGTTATTTGTTTTCTGAACCAGAACCCTATTTAATCGCTAATTTTTCAGAAAACAGAAAATTTTACATGACAAAATCGCTACTAGACTAGCGTCATCGAGCTTGAGTAGGCATGACAAATGCGGTGATGACACTTGAACTTGAAGTATTACTTCAGTTCTTGAAAGTACAAAATGCTCATGTACATACAAAAAGCGTGTGACGGAGAGGGGAACTTGTGTTCTACATATGATTCCTTAGCCACATTCGGATCCACTGACGGTCTAGCTGGCTTCAGTTGTAGAGTTCTATCCTTTTATGGCTGGGATGCTTCAAGGAAAGAACATTTTCTAACATTCAAAGAAAAGTAGAAAGCTGTGAGGCGCCATCCCGACGAAATGCAAAGTCATTCAACTCAGTAGACTGGCCCACTTGTCTAGCTTTTTCACCTTCCCGATTGCTTGCATTTTGTTTACCATCCCCTACCTGTTAGTTCTGAACTCGAGGTGAGTACGCTTGAACCGCGTCACTCGGCCTGCAGCGAGTTTCGTGATCTTCGAAGTTGCCCTAGTCTGCGTAGAGGTAGGATTGTACCGGCAACCAAGCCCTACAGATCTGTATAATAATTAGTACCTCTTGGGTGGAAGACAAAAACACTAACTCAAACCGGACAATCTTGAAAATTATTGCGTAGGCTAAATACGCCCTTAGATAGCTTTACAATTCCAAAAAGCAAATTGTGTGTCCCAAAGAAAGGAAGCATCAAAGCCAAAAACCTCTGACTTTACTTTGTCACTGCACAATTGAGTAAACTTTGCAGGTGATTGCCTTCGTCATAAAAAGACCACCTTAAAGCAGCAACCCTAGCTCAAATAAGTAGGTAGCAGCATTGCTGGTGAATGATGGCGTGAAAAAGAAGTAATTAGACGAGTTTGTCGAATGCAACAGCATCAATGCGATGAGGCTGCCATGTGTGTTGACCTATCGGCTATCTTATGGAGTAAGTTGTAATCCCCGTTGCGTGGGGGACCGCGAGGTATCTCGTCCATAAGTTGAGATTAGTCGCCATAAGTTCACTTTGTAAAGCCCTAGCGCCATTGTCGCGCACTTTCGAGACGCGACAACGGCACATCTGTGATACTCGTGGGCTACTCTATCCCACCCACCGGATAGATTCTTCGACAGACTTCTGGGGGAGTTGGTGCTTCCAACCGCATCTCTGCCTTCTCGCCCA